TTTCATTGAGGAGGCCTTCCGTACGGCACACGCGGCCGACCCTAACGCCAAGCTATACATCAATGAATACAATCTCGAAGCCGTTGATACAAAGTCAGACGCCTTATACGCGTTGGTCAAGGAGTTGAAGGGTAAGGGAGTGCCCGTTCATGGGGTGGGTTTGCAGGGGCACTTCAGGGAGAATGAAATTCCCTCAACTTTTCAAGATAATCTTCAACGCTTCGCCGATTTGGGACTCGATGTAGCCATTACTGAGCTTGGTATCCGGTATAAGTTACCAGGCTCAGCTGATAAGATTGCCAAACAGGCCCAGGATTATAGCCATGCTTTCAGCGCCTGTATGAACGTGGACAGGTGTGTCGGGGTAACCGTTTGGTGCTTTACCGATAAACACTCGTGGGTGGAAGAATGGGAAAAGGGTTATGGGGAACAGGAGTTATGGACTCAGGATTATAAACCCAAACCCGCCGTAGACGCTGTTGATAAAGTTTTGAAATAAATGAACCTGTTTCATTTGCAAATAATTAATTATTTTATATTTAATATGAACTCGATTGATTTGTTTTTAAATAAATAATAATACATTGTGTTCAGATTTATTTTAATGCAACTTAATAGTATAAAATAAACGATATCTATTTATCATTATAACAATTAATTCATCAATTTATATAAAAATATTGTTTAAAAACGTCAAACCAATTATGAGTTGGGTATTTTTCTGTACAGTCTATGATAATAATAATATACTGATATAGAAAGTCAATTAAGTCAAAGGCTAAGTATACTTATTATTTAATTATGATTATTACAAAGTATGGTTAATGTTATCAAATATATTTTAGATATATTCCGTCTATATTTTAGTATATAAATGTGTTGTTGAGATATTTAAAAAGCATATTGTAATTAGTATCTGGGAAATTATTAAAACATACTGTCATAAAATGCTCAATTAATACTTGTGTCAATTCATTAACTAATTGTTTTAGACATTTAACTTTTTTTTATAAACTGTATATTATATTAATATAAAGCACACGAAAATGCTGTCCACGTCAATCATTTTAATCGCGGTATTTATTTTGTAAGTATTTCACAAATATTTTTACATAACTTATATTTTTTGATATTAAATCTTATTTTTCATTAATATGTTGGGCACCGGTAGCTCGGGCGAAGGTCACCTCCGAGATCACGCCAAACAGAAGTACATCGGATCGGCGTTTACGTCCGGT